TGGGGGAGACGCGGCTCTCGCTGCCCGAAATGACAAACAGCAGGCAGGCAGTGGCATGCTCCGCTTGCCAAATACAGCACTCCATGTTCAAATAGTGCTGACAGGGAAAACATAGACACTGTTATCCCGGGTCCTCCACTCTGCACTGAGAGTTTGAGGGCACACAGTCCGGCCTGTGTTCACCGGTGAGGCCTTCAGCTGCTGTTGTGGAAAAAATCACTTAACTGCAGATTTAGGGATTTTTTTCTTTCTTACATGTACCGAATGTTTACATGGGAACCCGATGTGTTCTGTGACTTTCAGGATGGACGAAGCCGTGAATGCGGTTTGAAATCCCTGGATCCGATTATAAAGTGCACTGACTTCATTGAGAAAATAAGAAATCATCTGACAAACCTTTTTATAAATGTGGTTTTCATCTGACAACAGTGATATACTCAGTGTAATTGTTGCCCTCGCTGCTTCCTGCTGAGCTCATTGAACATTCCAGCCATATATTCTCTTTGATGGTTTTAATTCAGCCGAGCATACCGGCTGCTAGTGCGCTGCCCACTGCAATGATTAAATGCATAGCGCTGCATTCATTCATTCCAGCGTATCGATCAAAGTACAGCTTCTTCTAAGTGGAAACAAGCTTTCCCAGGGTCTCAGGAAACATCTGACCTGTATTAAACAAAGAATGGAGATTCCAGCTAGTTGCGTTTCATCGGTTTAAGAGCCATATCGCGATTTCAAATTAAAACACAGAGCTGACCACTATGGAAACCTCTTAAAATAGCATAGTGGAAACTTTAATGCCAGCTGGCAACACTTGTAACTGCCAGTAGAAGCATCCGGAAGCTATATGAACCTTTTATATTTGTTCAAGTCAGGAAGCGAAAAGGAAAAATAAGACTTTTGAGGCATCTCAATATGTAACATGGTGATGCTTTATCTTGAATTTCAAATGCTTTAGAGCTAAAGGTTTCCAACTTGTGAACTTGGAGGAGACTAAATTCACATTTCAAAGACTTATGTGATAATACAAACAGGTTAATGTTATGGCTGTTAGCCGAAACTAACTTACAGTAAACTAACAGTTTAGCATGAAAGATGGTTCTAAATACTACTTACCCATGCTCATCGGCATAAATGTATTGAGAAATAGTATTTTGTTACCTCTCCCTCAATGGCAACTATTTATTTATTGTTTGTTTGTCAGCTGTAAAAAAAGAAATTTCTACCTTTTAACTTTTATGTATAATTGTGTGAACCAGGTATTTTCTAATCCAGTTGAACAATTTAAAAAGAAAAGCTTGTGTGAGCTTAGAAACAGTTCAACTCTCAGTCCCCTAACATTGTCTAAGTAAACAACACTTTAACTTGCAGTTCCCCGAATGACCAAAATAACTCGTCAGACCTCTGAGAGTGCTATCGACAGATGTTGCCAGTTGCCTGTGAATGAATGAATGAATGAATGAATGAAGGGCGAGGAACACGTTACACCTCAAACAGTCACGAATCCTAACAAGGCCACCCAGTCTCTTTCCTGTTTTTAAATCCCCTCTCTAAACTGCTTATTTGTCGGCATCATACTCTAATGAATGCACAATGCAACTCTGTACCTTCAACCCTCTGTGAACGTATCTATGTGTGTATGCGTGGAAACCTGCACATGTTCCCCCTTGGGCCTGTGACCCCAATAACCCTGGTTCTCTGCCTAATCTTGTAATCTTGAGCGGAACAGCCGCCTCTGTGATCGTTGGCAGGTCTAGTGCGGTGCATACCTTCCTCCAGTGGCGCTCAGTGGGGGATATGTGGGAATATCTGCAGGTAATCCACATCTCCAACAAATATCTGCAGCCGGATTTTTCTAATAAGACCCGGGCCTGGGCTCATGGGTGGGCCAGGACGGGTTGAGCACGTGGTCCTCGATGGGGAAAGCCAAAGCAGACCACTTCAACTCAGAGTGATGTGAATGAGGTGTCTCCTGCAGAGATGACCTGTGTGATTAGGGAGCTGCGATGCATCTTCAGCAGGATGTGCCGTCGATGTTATAAAACAGCAAATTACGGCCTAATAGAAAGAGGCACTGTAAATATTGCAGCACGAACAAAAGCCTCCTCAGTGTAATGAAACGAGATTAGTTGAGGCAGGTAGCCTCAGAGTCGAGGCAGCGGAGATGCACTGTGAAGTGTCTGAGTCGACTTGTTCCAACAACAGACAAGAGGAGTGGAACTTTCACTGACGAACAAACTATAAATCCTGTTTTATGACCGATCAGAAAATACATTGTGTAAATAATTCTAACTACTTCACTCTAGAAATATTTGAGATAAAAATATAACACAGCCTGGATTATTTCATTATTTCAGTTGTTCCTGCACCACATTCGTTTCTGAAGGTTAGAGAAACCAAATTGAGTTTGAGTTCAGTATTTAAACTCCGACATAACGAAGAGCTTTGAGTTCCCGAACAAAACAGTAAAACTGTTCATCAGCTTTAGTTTCCAGGAGCAAATATTTCAAAAGAATTATGTTTACAATGAAGTGTGTTGACGCCAAATGTTTTATAGACACGTTGACTGTAAAGTTTTCATGTTAGCTGTCTGGAGGCCTGATGTCTCTTGTAAATGTGTTTGCCAATGAAAGCTGTTGTATATAAACAGAAGCTCTTTGGGCTTCAACCAAATAAAGAAACAATGAGGTTGATAGTGTAAAATACTAGACAGTAGAGCGCCAGGTCCCATCAGTCCCTTTAAATTCAAGCTGATACTTTTTTCATCATGTCCATGAATTATTCCGTCTTCAAACCGTAAAGAGAGTCGTACGGTCTGCACCTCAATTAAACGGGTTCCTTCTTGGCCAGTGTCCCGTCCTTCCACCAAGTTTCCACCAACAGAACAACCAACAATCAAGCAGACAGCTGGACAGAGCTCATATCTCTCAATGTTGCAGAAAGTAACACAAGTTCCTGGGTCTGCCCCTTTCTTCCACAAATGGATGGGTTCTTTTCTCACCATCCCTCCACCAAGTTTCATGAAACTGTTTGTAATCACCTCGCTGACGAGCAAACAAACCAACCAACCAACCAACCAACCAACTAGTGAACAGGGGTGACAACGTAACCTCCTCGGGGGAGTTAAACTTGAAGAAGTAACCAGACGTTGTGGTCGGGGTCGTGATGGATGGCTACATGCATTTTCCTTCAACCCTGTTTAAAATCCTGAAACTGTACAAAGCATTCCTCTCATGCAACTGCAGATGTCATTTTCAGCAATGGTTTTTCTTAATAACCATGAAACCTTATAGCCATGTGGCGAACACATGAAAACAACATGTGCAACGCATGTTATTGTAACCAAATCTTCAGTGGCGGAGGAAGGAAATGTTCTCATTATTTATGACCACCACCACAAAAAAATTTACATTCCAGAGTTCATGCCCATTGTGTTAGCTTTGTGGAGACGTGTGAGACAAAGTCATTGACTGTGACGGATAGCTGCTCTGCAACACTGGGAGACACGCCCCCCCTCCCCCCCCACGGTATTTAATGGAGTCATCAACAGCCGCTCGCTAACTTTAATGCCACAGGAGACTGTAACTCTCCAGGCAACCACCACTAAATATGCCAGACGGGTCCGGCTCGCTCCCGTCCCTCAGATCGATATGAAATCGTCTCGGGCCAACAAGCGTGCCAGAACGGTGAGAACCCAGACGATCCAGTCAAAGGTTACAGACGGCCCGGCCAGCTTCGCCCTCGGCCAACGTGTGACCGCCGTTTTAAAGAGCTCTTTGACAGTTTAACGTCCCTCCTCACACACCTCCTCCCCACACCATTCATTCCCTCCACTCTCTCCTCCCCGTTGTTTTCCTTTCTCAGCCGTCCTGATTAAAACTCGGGAGATCCCGGCGGGAGGCTCTGATTTCCCCGGCCCTGACTGTAACTGTAGTGAAGTCAGCGCTGCGTGTCCTCACACAAGGCCAGTCCAACCCAGCGGCTGCAGAGGGCTGAGTGATGAATGAGGGTTTGACCAGTGCAACATCTGCAGGGTAGACGGGCCTGTTTGGTACTTTGAACTGTTCCCTGTGAGGTTTTCTCTTTCTGCTGTTCCTGTAAATCAGAAATCTCAGCTCAAACATGCAAAACACTGCGTTACTTTGTTTTTCTTGTGCTGCACAGTTGGCTGAGGTCGGGTTCCCTGAATATGCATGTGGATACTCAAACCTCACATTTTACTGCTCTTGCATTTTTAAGCCCGTGTGCACAGGATTGGTCAAATGCCAAATAAGGATGGACTCATTTTGTCAAGAACACATCGAGTATCAATATGTGCTGACGATAAAAAGTTAAATTGGAGTTTTGTGGGGGTGAAAGTAAAGAAATGGAACAGGATGAAAATAAACTGTATAAAAATAAGAATGTAAAAGTTTGCATCATGTCCTCCTCCTACTACTTCTGCACACACACACACACATTTACAGCCACAAAGAACTTGGTTGCCAATAAGCCACGATGGCAAGAAATCCCCGGAGGGTGATTATTTACTCATCTGGCTCAAAGCAGAAATAGATGGAGACAGATCAACTTCAGCCCATAACCTGGAGGTGTCATCAAACATTAACAGAAGTGGCTTTGTGAATTTGATAGTGCAGCTCAGTGCAGTTCAGAGGGCAACCAAATGACATCGCCTGGAAGGACTGCTGCATGAATGGAGCCTTTTTTTAATGATCACAGGGAAAAACCCCTCTCCCTGGGGGACCTGACATTTCAGAGGGTTTTCCCCCTTAAACATACACGAGTAACCTTTAAAGGAAAAACATAAAACAGGTAATTTTGCACTTCCTATCCGGGACAGAATGAATGAAACGCTCATTCATCGCAGTTTAAACTCAAGCAAGATGTTTTGTCTTTACAGAAAATGGATCCAAGCCGAGTAAGAACACGCGTTTTGTGATGAGTGTAACAAGTTCATGTTGAACTTCACTGGTGAAAAAAACCCAAACGCACTGAAAACTCACCGTTCTGCTCCTTTATGCTTGGAAGGTGAAACTTGGTGACATGACTTGATTCAGCTTCCGAGTCATACTGTTGGAGAAGCGAAGCAAGAAGGAAAAAGAATGGAAGGATCATTTGGATGAGTGGTGGCTGGCGATCACAGGGCGCTGTAGACGGGATGGTTTGGATCACCACACACATGCGTCGCTCACAGGGCACCAGTGCTGCTTTGGACACATTTGGAGACGATAGAAGCAGAGTAGAATCCACATAATCTTAATCATCAGTCCTGGAGAAAGTGATTTCTTTGTTTTCGCTCTTTAAATCAAGACTAATCCTTCTCCAAAGCTTCCAGACCTGACGCTGCTGTGCAAAGCAAGTGCGCACCTGTTGGTTCGGTGAAAAGTTGGACACCGAGTTAGAGAAAGTTTGTTTTTTTTTCTAAGTAAAGATAATCCTGGGATTAGTTGTGTGCGCGTCCACACGCAGGCAGATCATCTGTGGTAGCAGAGCGTTTGGATACGCACACGCATTTTGGCTGAAGCGTGCGTCCACGGTGCGTTCTCGCCTCCGTTTGGATAAATCCCCGCAGATCTTTACGCATCACACACAGCAGACGCGGAGCGAGAGAGTCCAGCAACCTGATACAGTGTGTACCCACAAACCATTCGCAACACCGAGACGAGTTTTGTTGTCTGGCGAGGTCTCGAAGTCATAACTCGGTGGAGACGGAGTGAAATATCGCTGCTCGACACCAACTGACTGCACAACAGGTGCTGTGCATAAAGTACAAGTCCACAGCCGAGGAACCCCCCCCCCGGATGTTAACTATTCCGCTGCTGCCTGGTCCGATGAGCTGTTTCACTCACAGTCTCACAAACCCACACTTCAGTTCTGCAGAAGAAGCGTCAGCAGCATCTTCAGAGAACAGAGAAGCAGCTCAGGACACATGAACACATGAACACATGAACACAATGTGATTCCATGAAGGAGCTTTACAGTTTCCTCCACAGTACAAAACAACATTTAACAACCAAACACCACTTTAGAAAACTAAGATCTACACACATTTACATTTTGGTAACTTAATATCACAAAACTTTAAAAAGTTTAATTATCTTATTATTATTTAGTTTCTTATTCTTTAGTCGCTGGATTTGTAATTTTTTGAGAAATATTGAACTTTAAGACTTAATGAGAGAAACGATTTCCCACTTTTGGAACCAATAAAGGATTTTTGACTCATATCATATTGTGTTGTATTACATATCGTATCATATATAATATCATATCATATATCCTGTCATATCTTATATTGTATTGTATCATATCATATATCATATATCATATCTTATTGTATTGTATCATATCGTATCGTATCGTATCATGTATCATATCTTATTGTACTATATCATATCATGTATCATATCATATATCATATCATATATCATATCATATATCATATCTTATTGTATTGTATCGTATCATATATCATATATCATATCTTATCATATTTAGGTAATATATGAAAACACAATAATACAACAGAATTCCCTCGCTAACATTCCGTCCTCTGACTCACTGTCTCTGCTGACAGTATTGTGGCCCTCTGATGTCCTCTCACTGTTTCTGCCCGAAGCATCATCAAATTCATGCGTGATGAAACAGTGGAATTCACGTTACATACACATTGGGACATTTACGATCCAAAAGGGAAGTTTCCATAAGCAAATATGTCTACGTGAGCTTGTTTGAGCCGCGGAGCGATTGTTTAAAGCCTTGATTCATTTCCCCAATAGAGAGATGAAAGATGAGTGTTTTCCCACACAAGACTTTTCTAACCGGCTGTCTCTGGCTGAATGTTCCTGTGGACGGAAATGTTTAAGGGCTCCTCAATTTGTCATATCAAAGCAGAGACACCACTTGGAACAATACTCCCAACTGTTCCCAATTTCCTTTTTCCCCGGCGCACTGTTGTACCTCATCAGCAGCGTTTCATGTGGTTCCTCCCATCCCTATTGTTGGCAAAACGCACTGGTGTATCCCCCAGTCGAATGGTGGGTCTGCTGCAGCACAGACACAACAATCAAAGGAGAGCCGGAGACATATTGAAACCATTGAGCCAGACACATGATGCAATGCTGCAGCAATTTACCCCCAGTCTCACATAGCTCAGAAACTACCACCTCAAAGAAAGTGCAGAGCAGACATCTCCCCAGCATCAAGGTATGAGGGGAGGGGAGGCTTTGTGGTTTTAATCAAAGTTAATGGCTGGGAAAAAGGAGGCATGGGGCAGCGGTACAGTCATTTCATACGTGTGTTGCCCCCGTGGAGAGGGGCATATAGAGGTCTGCTTGTGCCTGCTGCAAGGGCCAAGGCCCTTTGTGTAAAGCAGAGTATCACATTCCAGCCCTGCAAGGGCCTGCAGCAGATGTCAGCACTTCACATTGTGGAATCCCTCTCTCTCTCTCTCTTGCACACACTCACACACACTCCTTCGGCCCTTGAGGTTTTGTCTGTAAAAGCTGGGTATTTTGTCTCGTTGTCCACGTTTGATTGCCGCTTCCATGGTGGTCCTGTGAAACTCTGAGGCTTTGATACAAAGAAATATAATAAACAGAGGAAATTAGAAACAAGGCAGACCTTTTGGGTCACGGCTAACACACAGAGACATGCCAGCCAGGAGGACTCTGCGTCCGCCGACTGGAGATGGAAATGTATACAATAGAGACTTCACAGTCGTTGGCTCACGGCAAAATCCCATTAGACGTTCTTGCCTTTTTGGGACAGATACTGTCAAACAAACAGATGCCGTCTTCCAAACACTGTGAATTACTCAACGTGTTTCTCACAGCGTCTGCGGTTTTGTTCCAGGTGAAATGAAAAGAAACACGGGGGAGAAGAAACGTTTGCTGAATCTAGATTGCACCTCATTTTGGCACCTTGAAGAAAAGAAGGCCCGTAAGATGACTCCACTCATATGGAGAAGCCTCCTGTAGCAGCAGCAGCAGTAGTTTTCTCTGTGTGGTCCTGTGGGGTTTTCTGTGGTTTCATTCTCGGTGGAAAAGTGCCAACGAAGGAATTTGGATAGAACTCACTGAAGTTTTCTCACAATCTATAACAACTTGATAACTTTTAATTTCATACTTACACCGGATGAGCTCTTATCATTGTGTCCTTCAGCATGTGGACTTTATATATATATATAGATATATGTATATCTATATATATATCGATAAGATTCTAATGTTATATGCTCAACTTTAAGATGTGGGGGAAGTTGAGTTGCCCCTGGCTGCACTTGGCTTTGAAACCAGAGCCCCCTGGTGGTGCCCCTCAGGGCTACAGCCAGGTTTGTGACCCCTGAGCACTTGCCGGCATGTTTTGGTTCTCGCCTGAACTGAAGAGAAACATATTTCATCATGTGATTCAAATCAAATCCAGAATAAAACATGACGATGTTTTCCTCTAATGGAATCGTCCATCCAACCATCTGCTAATGTGCGTATCGTGTTTGGAGGCACAGGGAGGCAGAGCGTTCATCTTCATGCATATTTGATTTCCACCTCTAATTCATGTGCGTTTTTAACTTCCGGATTTGTTCTCGCTGTTCAGATTGTACGGCTGCGATGCCTCTCAGCCTGAGCCGTGCACCACAGAGGAGTCAGATATTTCCCTCTGTAATGTCTCCACTGAGAAGACATTAGGACTCTGGTGATGTTCTGTTGATGTGTAAAGTTCATGTATGCTGAGTTCGAGGTGCCAGAGTTAACGCCTGTGTTGCATTTGAAGTTTGTACACCCAGAAGAAGACATGTATGATTTTAAGATTTAAAAACCATCCCTCATGTTTTTCTCTGGAGCTCCAAGAACAAAGGGACATTTTGTTCCATCTCTGAGCCTCTCTTCTGATTGGCTGCCTGTTTTCTGAGCGATGCACAACCTTATTACGTGTTTCTCTGCAAATCAGGCTCCACCCACTCTACTTTCTTGCATTGCAATCCTTGGGAAGGTTAAAGATGTGTCGGCTCTCTCACATTCAACGATCGTATCTAGAGTTGTTTGTAAAGTTAAAACAACAACAGCAAAAGGCCAGAGAAGAAACTGAAGTGTGTTAGTGCTGTACCTAAAATCTAGATCGGCTGAATAATGTCCAACACCTTTATTCAGTGCATTGATCTGCAGCTTGTGTTTCACATCACAACCTGAACTAAATTCGTCTGAAATCTACTTTTCTGCCTCATCACAGCTTGATGCTCAGAAAATGAGACAGATCCCTGCTGCCGGAGGACGTCTGCACCGTGAGAGCAAAACAATGAACCTGATTTGGATTCATTGTGTTGCAATAAAGCATAAACTGAGGAGAGGGAGAGGAGGTTTTTAATGATGAAAGAAAACAACACTGGAGCTGTACGATAAATTTCACCCAGAACCTGTCGTCCCGTTCGGGTGAAAACTGTCGGACATGTCGTTTTCTGCTCTTTGAGGATTTCCCTCCTCATGTCAGAATTGAAAGACGTCCAAAAAATATCGGGGAGGATCCTTGCTGCCGAACAGCTCTCTGGCTCGATGCCTCCGTCGTAATCCTCCTCATAGTGAACATCTGCTGACGGGAGAGACTCAGTTTCCATTATGACAATCTGCTTATTTAATGATCCAGAGGTCAGATCTCCTCCACTGCCAGACTTCATCAATACGGTATTGTACTGGAAGCTGCTCGGTGATGGATTGTGTGACAGTGAACATCTGTAAACATGTAACGTCTATTCTCTGACCTACTGAATTTACAAAGCATGTATATGTGATGGGGACAGATGATGTTAGTTCTGGTTCATCCGTGTTTACAGGTTGATACAGGAAGCACATAAGAAAAGTGGAGGTGGGGGGGGGGGGGCTCCGTCAATAACTGAAGGGAGAACTCAGCAGCTGCAGGAGCATGTCGGTAATTGAACGTGTCACCGTTCTGTACAATTGCCTTTTTACTGTGCTGATGTAATGGGGACATTGATCCAGAAAATAAAATACTTTTCCTCTCAAGTCAGTGGAATTAATCATTTTACAAGTATTTGTTTGATTTCTTTCATTTGCACATTTTAAATTTAGAAAAAAAAAACCCCTGAGGACACGTTTAAGATTCAAGATTCTTCTTTATTCCCAAGTTACTGCTGCAGACGACGACACTCCGGCACCAGATGTCTAAATAACAATTATACATCCTAACTATATTTTCTTTTTATTACCTCCGTGGATGTTATGTTTCTGTTTGTTGTCAGCAGAATTACAGATAAACTTCTCACAGATTTCCTTGAAACGGGCCAAGAAAACAAACACAACATTTTGGCACCGATGTGGACGAAGAAGCTGATCCATACATTTCCAGAAACACTGTGAGATAGGTGTGTTTTTTTTGCAGATTTCCTGGGAAATGATTGACGGGTCTTGATGCATGTTTTAGGGAACTGATATCTAAGAGTGTTAAATTGGTGCAGCTTGATTGAACTGAAGGAGATTGTTGGGTGTTGGTGGAGGTCCGTGCTCTCCTGGGGGCTGTTTCACTTTCTTTATTTCTCTTTATGTTTCTTTGTCGTGTGTGTATCTTTACTCTTCATCAGAATCACTCCAAAACCAGGATGAAATTGACTTTGCATATGCACAGATGAAAATATATACATCACATATGCACATATTTAGCAAATCCTTCCTGTCTGTCAGCCCTTTGTTTCATCTCCATCTTTGGTGATTTACATGAATTCCGTCTGGCAGCTTCCCCCTCCTCCTCCTCCAAGTCATTCATCTTGTCGCTGATCTGAAGTCACGTCCATGACGCTCAAACAACCAACCATCACTTGTGAATTAAAGTCTGTCAAAAGCTTCTTTTTCATTAGAATAAGAATGAGAAAACTAGCGTAACTCTTCTTGGCTGCAGCAGTAGCAGAAATGTGGTTTGCATGCCAGGTATAATACCACAGCAGATTGGTTCAATCCAGCCTGACATATTTCTGGAATGGCACATAGTTGTCCATCGCACGTGGCTCAGAGCCAACCGGCGAACATTTTTCAGGACAACACAAAAGGATCCTTGTGCTCGACGGCTTCGCCTCCTGATTGTAACACCACAACCATGCCCTGTGACATAAATCATTAATCTCTATGCATGTGGTGCCGATTAATTTGTGTATGGAAATGGCATGCCATGTCAGTCAAAATTATACTACGGGGATCATTACGCCGAGGCCTCCCAGGTTGTTTGACATACAGTGATGAATGAGATATGGATCAAAATTGTGGGAAAAAATCAGCTTTCTCCTGCTTGTGCACTGGATTTTATTTTCACTAAAAGAAAGAAGAAGAAAGAAATAACATCAGGCTTCCTGTTCATTTCTCTCAGTGTGTTTTCAACTAAACACAAAACCAATGAAAAATGACACAAACACTTCTGACATTTAAATTGAAAAGTTCTTTACGGAGGCAAGTTATGACCACAACCAAATCCAGGAGAATGATGTGGTTTTATAGAAATGAATGAGACAGCGAACATAAGAAATGTTAAAAGTCGTTTCTATCATCACCCACATAATTAACTCTGTCAAGAGTTTGAGAGAAGTGTGGACTCCGAACACAGAGAAGCTTTTAGGGATTTAATATAGAAACAAATCAAAGGGATGAATCTGTGTGAACAGGAACACTGAGTCCAGGAGATTGATCCAATCTGTAATCTTCAAATGATTCTTTTATTATCAAAATCAGATGCATGAATATCTTTCTTCAGGCATGTTTAGAAAACTTTCGGGGCCCCAGGTTAAAGGTTTACGTGGGGGCCCAACATTAAACCAAGCTCAGTTCTCAGAGGCTCCCTCTCTCAGCTTTGTCGACCTGTTGTCCTCTATGAATACGTCCCTCTGTAAAACCTGCATGTCTAATAATATAACTCCTACTGAACAAGAGAGAATAACAAAGAATTGTTGGAGGAAACGTCCTGTAAAGATGTGTTTGTTATTAAAATATACAAATGCAGGTGGAACAAGTGCAGCGAAATAAACACTTAAATGTGTGTTTCAGTGTTTTCTTTCCACTTTAATCTGAGAGACGACACGGCAACAGATTAAATATGTACATGACAAAACTATGTTTCTACCTGTTGTGTCGTTTGTCGAGGTTTCAGCTTCACATTTCCAGAGCAGAATAATGTGAAGCCGGCTGAGCAGCAGAAAGCTCGGCTCTGCACGGAAAAGAAATAAGAGGATCATCAATCATGTGGCGCACGTTGTATCCGTGCAGCATAAAATAACTTTACACGCTGAAAACTGTAAAATATAATGTAAAGTTCTGATATTTGATGGATCTGTATGTTTGATCTTGTGCCAACACACTGCTCTACGTTGGTCAGTGGCTCATTCATCTGTTCATTGATCCATTCATTCAACACAATGTAAACACAGGGGTCAATATTAAACCTGATATACTCCCAAAGTGACGGATATTTAACACAGTGACTCAAAGCTACATCTCATCAGTGGAGACACTTCTGGAGCTTCTGATCATTTGACATGATCTTCATCCAGTTGTTGGTTTGGAAGTACAGATGTTCAGAAGGTCCTCGTTTCCTGAGCAGTTTCCTCTCTCACTGGAAGAACAGCTGTAAAATTCACCTCGTGAGATTTATTTCTTGTGTTGTTCAGGTTTCTTTAGATGAGTAATATCTGTAAACACAGATTCTGAAATCTCACCTCTGAAATGTCGTGTCTCTATCATCAGATTTTAAAATATTCTATTTTACCGTTGGACTGGGTTTTCTCGATTTGAGCTACACGTACCATATTCATTTATATTGCTTTTGTGAAACTAAAGATTTTGTTTCTCTGTGAATTTTTTATTTGTATAAAGCTTTTGTAGAAGCTTGTAAACATGCAACTGACACATGAGAATAAAATAAAATGAAATAAAATAAAATGCTGCCATGTGGATAGAAATGACATCAGTGGCTGCTCTGAGCAGTTTGGGCCTTCTGCATCCATCATCTCTGTTTGTCTCCTCCGTCTTTCTGCTGCCGTTGAATACTTCACATAAATACTGAGGCGGTTTGCTGCCGTCACGTGAATGGGGGGGGGGGGGGGGGGGGGGGTTGCGTTTCATTTATCCACCGCCGCGTCACGTGTGACGGCTGTGGATGCTGGAGGAGGAGGAGAGGAGGAGGAGGAGGAGAGGAGGAGAGGAGGAGGCGGCTGTCCGTGGTGCTGATGGGAGGACGGATGCTCTCCGGCTCCTCAGCAGCCGCTACTGCGCATGTTGCATGACAGGTACACGCAAACGCCTCCATCTTGGGCATCCCGAGCCGAGGCGCAAAGGGCAGCAGCCATATATACACACACACACTGACACACACAGACACACTAAAAATAACCAGAAGAAGCAGAAGAAGGTTCACTCAAGGAAAATGTGGAGATCTGCCGAGATGTAACTTCTTTTTTTTTTTATGTCTTTCTCCTCCAACACATTGAGAGAAAAGAGCGCGGATGAGGATGGAGAGGCGCGAGAGCGAGCGGCGCGCACGGCTCTGCTAACCGCTGGATCCGCTCCGGCAGCTGCGAGCGGCTCCGCTCTCCTGCAGGAACCGACAGGTGACACGGTGGAAAGGTGAGTGGCACCGTGTGGCTTCATCTGCCATCGAACACTTTCGCGTTATTTATGTTCTTTACGCGCGCTCCTGCGAGGGGTGGGGGTTGGGTTAGGGTGGGTTGGGGGCTTTGCACGCTCGCGCTCATATGTGCTGGCATCTTCCTCCCCCCCCCCACCCAGCCTGTCATGGTGGTCGCTGTTTTTCCTGTGTCGCTCTCTCTCCTCTGCCGCTCGTGACGGCCCGACTCTACTTTTACTTTCCTCTTGTTACGAAGAGCTCGACGCGACGCGCAGCCACAGGTTGTGAGCGCGAGCTCCGGAGGTTCTGCAGAATATTTATGTGTGTTTGTGTTTAACGCGTCGTGTCGGTTCAGAGACGAGATAACGCTCAGCGTGTTGATGAGCAGAGCGCAGGCCCTGACCCGTGTGTCGGTTCATCGTGAGGATGTCAATTTGCAGTAAATCACGTTGAATCCAACTAAAATAAAAGCATGAAGTTGTTGACGTGGTGTTTGGAGCTTTATTGTTTTAATATCAACAACGATACGAGTTCAATAATTTTTTTTAAAGCCCATATCCACAAATCAAAGATGGTCTGTTAATGTCTGGTAATGATGAGCACTCAAAACTGTTTTTGATATTCACACACCTCAGGAGGAAGAGGGGGTCGTCCACTAACCAGAAGGTCGGCTTTTCGATTCCCACATAATATAAATGCGTGTTTTAGAAAAGCAATTAAAAAAATACAAACCATTAACCATATAGTGCTTCTATGTGCAGCACTTTCTCTATCACACATCACCCCCCCCCCAAATCATGGGCTGTTTTGGGTTCACTGTCTTGCCCAGAGACACTTCGGTACTGACTATAGGATCAAACTGCCAACCCTGTGGTTAGTGGACAGTCCGCTTTACCTCAGAGCCCACAAGGTGCAACATCCTCCTGCCCTTAACCTCGGACAAGAGTGAAGAAAAAATTATATCAACATTGTCGATTGTTTTCAGGAATTATTTCATCATGTTTATTGAGGAGAATTTAAAAATGTCTAGTCTGCAGTGAACTGAAGTGGCCAGAGCAGAAGTGCTTATTGACCTTGGACCCAAAGACCATAAAAGGCTTCTTGAGTCACCCTCAGCTGCCAGACTATAACAATTCCGCTGCAGTTTTAACTTTGCCAGCAGTAAATCAAAATAAGGGCAATGTTCCTACAGTGGTTGACTCAGGCAGTGCCAAGGTCAATTTATGGACTCGGTCTCAGCCGAGCAGGAATCGGTTTAGCAGGGCCGTGCACGAGGACCTGGTTCTTTCTCCTTTATTTAAGATTTTGAGAATATAAACGCAGCAAGGTGCAGACGAGTGTGGGCTTCAGTTCATGACAAAACTTCCCTCGGGGTACTTTTCAGATAGACCTTACTCAGGTGACCTGTCCAGGTGGAAACCTCACTCTTGTCTCACAGCAAGAAGGTTCTTGGTTCAAATCCCAGTTCATGTAAGGAGTTCACATCTTCTTTGTGTGTCTCCTTTGCTTCTCCTGCTTCTTCCGACAGTCCAAAGACATGCAGGTGAACTACGAGAGAGTCTGGACTGAGTGTTGGTGAAAATGTGAGTTGAATGGTGGTTCGGCTGAAGGTGTATCCAGTCTCACATCCAATATCAGCTGGGATTGGCTCCAGCTCCACCTGCGACCCTCAAAGAAAAGAGAAGTGCTATAGATAATGAAGGGATGGATGGAAATAATAATCCATCAGCTTACACAATACGCTTTGGACCCGGCAAGACAGTATAAATAATCATTAACTTTATTTGTATTGAACCTTTCATGATGAAATGCCGCTCAAAGTGCTGAGAATCTCAGGGTTCAACATCAGGAGTTGTGTATAAAGTGTAAAAGGCAACTGGACATCTTAGATATTTCAGCTCTCATCCAAGAGGCTTCTGCAGTTCTCAAAGAAAAAATCCGGCCTCAGAAGTGATCAGAATGTATAAATGTGAGGACACAATGTCACCCCGAGAAAGGACGGCATCTCCAGATAAATCTTTTTAAGTGATTAGTTTGAGATTCAGACCAAAGACTATTTAGGATACAAATTTGAGTGAATGTCCTTGTTTGGTTCATCTGATCGCAGTTCTTAGACGTGTGTCTGATGTCGGTAAGCTAAAAAGGTTGTAAACTAGTTTTTATAATGTGCTGTGTTTCATCTTGCATCAATATTTTAGTAAGTGTTTCCTAATAACACTAATTTCTTCACCACAGCGTCAAACTTACTGTGGATCCTTCTTCTCCCGTCTATCAGGAGCACAGGGTCAGAGAAAGGAGCTGTCTTATAGAGAACAGCCTGAGGGAAGATGGGACATTATAGGTCAGAGTCAGATAAGAAACGATTTCCAAGAACTGTACTGAGACTCTCAGTATCACCATCAGCTGTTGCCCTCTGATGTCTGCGGGTCAGCATGGCTCTATGTGGCCACATTTTCTCCTACTGAATGAAGGCGCCCAAACCAACCGCCCCTTTTTCGCAGGACTCTTCCAGAATCGATAAGCGATGTTGACTCACTTCAGGCAAAGTGAAGGGTTTGCATGATGACAAAAGGTGCCGAGCGGAGCGGTGGAACCGATTTGTGCCGGAGAACATGATGATCAATGAGCAGGCAAGGAGCCAAGCAGACAGGGAGTTACTGGGCCAAGGCGACGAGGAGGAGAGGGAGAGAGAGTGCCTCTGTCTAGACAATAACTGCTTCAGTTAATATACAGTTGTGCCAGCAGGGCGGGGGGGGGGGGGGGGGGCCCTCTTGGCTGCGCTGTTGGTCTCAGTGTCCCTGTGCAATGAAAGGGCACCACTTTCATAGATGGGGGATGATTCACACAGGTACTACAGCTGCTCCATGATTAATTGCTACCTATCAAGAAATGCTAAACTGCCCTGCTCACCAGTAAAGGTGTTCATTTGTACATGTACACATGTACAGTTGTTAAACGGTTGTACCTGGCTTTGATGGCTTTGATTTGATCGCTTCCAACCAACGCAAACACAGATGAATCCAAATGATAATACTTAAATATAGATAAATAGATAAAGTGGACTCACAGAAAACAACATTATTAAACCTTCTCGTGGCTGAAGGACATTCGATCTAATATTTAAGTCGTCTCTTAGAGGTCACATTCACCCGAACAAGTCCAGAATGACCATCGTTATTCAGGTGCATTACTCCACTGATTGGATTTATGCTTGAACTTGCTCTGCCTGATTAAACCATGTCAAATTGATTAGTTCACAGTTCAGACATTTACTGTATGTGGCATGCGTGCAAACAAAATGGGAATGCATCATACTAGGGAAGGGCCAAATTCGTAGATGACGTACCCTGAAGCTTTGGTCTCCCACCCAAGGGAACATCATAAGCAGAAGCTGTCTGATGTCACATGTGCCAATGAATGGAAAGAACATGATGAAACAATTCACTTTGGGTTATGAAATTTCAAACATTCTGAGTCTGAGGAGTTTAAATGCATTGGCTCCTCTTTGTTTGTTTTCTCCTCCACAGGCTCAACTCACACCAGAATGGGCGTCAAGAGGCTCGTCGTCTTTCTCCTGGTGCTCTCGCTTTGTCTGGAGGGAGGTGATGCCAAAGAAAAAGGAACGAAGAAGGGCAAAAAGAAGGGGAAGCAGGTGTACTGTCCATCGTAAGTTGGGGATAAACAACAGCTGACACGTGTACCTAAACTCAACGCTGATTGGTTTGTAGATCGAGTAAACCCAAGCTTGTCTGTTTTGCATTATATATATTCTCCTGACGTAGGCATCGGTCCAAGGATCAGTACGTGATGAAGTGCTTCTGTGGATACTCATCTGCATGGGAGCAGCGTCACATACTGATCCTTAGTTTGATTTCAGCAGAAAGATCCTCTGTGCATGACCTTCCTCTGTGCATGACCTTCAGAAACACTTGAAAACGTAGCATGTGTGCACACATCTGCACAACGTAATGAATACAAAAGCTCGGATACCGAAAAAAAGAATTAAAAAAAAACAGCAATGTTACAGGCGTGCAACTGAGAAATGTAATAACGCTGCTCTTGCCCAACATTGATAGTAAATACGGTGAATGTCTCCTGACATAGTGAGCACCAACATGTCCTGACTTGTCTCTGGAGAGTGCATTGTCTCTATGCATTGCAGAGCTGCACCCTCTCCTTCCTTAAACTCTAACAAATGTCTCGACTTTGAAACTTGTTTGATGTCGTCCCAGTATTGGCAAGTCTAAGCTGCGTGACATATTCCGTGTTTCCTGATGCGGATGCCTTTGTGGATGAAGGAACCACTTGGTTCCAGTTTAGCTGTTGTGCTTGAGGTTGTCAGAAAGGTCTGTTAAATGAGAGAGAGGGTGGAAAAAAAAAAAAAAGGTTTAGCGGATGGGAATTATGTTTTTCACTTTGATCAGGGAACCGCAGAACATACGCGTACACTGTGCCGCATTCCTGTGGAGCACTTTAGCTCATCCTCAGTGCATGATAACGTTTACATAATGATATATAAAGTGCTTTGAGGAGGGGAAATTCTTTGGCAGGAGAATTCATTGCCACCCACAAGGAGGCTTTCTGTTTCTCCTTTCTCTCCTGCCAGATCCTCTTCTCCTCTTTCTGTCTCTCTCCATCCTTTTGTTTTTCTCACCAGTCAAACCCAAAACAGGAATGATGTTTGAGTGAACGTGTTTGAAAAACAACACTTTACCGTACGGTGTTAATTTTCAGTAGACAGCTTGTTTTTTGTTTTCAAAAGGGGGGATTTCACTTTGGTCTCAATAAAAAGTGGAAGTATACTGTCATGTGTGCTCTTCGCCACCCACATGGTAGATTAATTGACGCTGGTGGGGCGATGATATCCGGGGGTATTTGAAAATAGCAACGGTGTATGTTTCAGCAGTGAAAACCTTACGAGCACCACTGTCTGTGTGGTAAAAGATACTATTGAGGTAATGACCAAACTTCTTGTAAACAACATCATATGTCAGTTAAATAAACAGACAGAGAATCATAAATCTCACATCATGTTAAAGCTTCTGCTCAAAAGTGAAGATAAGAAACACTTAACCTTTAAGGCTAAGGTTCCTAAGGTTGAATATGACATAGCAAACATTTCCCATCCACACAACTGCTGATGTTATTTCTGTGAGCATGTTAGCATAGCATTATCTCTTAGCTCAAAGCACCCAATGCCTACAGCCGTATACTGTAGAAATGCTAGTATGATTGTATAGTTAGGAAAGCTGGACTGGGGCCTCGAGCTGGGAAGGGGCCCCTGACAATGACTGATTACATTAGCTCACAGCATCAACAAGAGAGAATGTGAGAATCCCCTTTGAGATCATGAGACTGCAATGACACCATGGTTGGAAACCCCCCGAGGCGCCGTGCCACTAAGTTTCTGCCAAAAGCTTCATGATTGTGAAGGTTTGGTCCAAGAATAAATTGAGGGGTTCGGTTCGGGTCAATGTAGGGCCCCTTTTTTTTGCCTGGGGCCCCCCCAAGTCCTTTGAAAAGCTCCAGTGTGTAGTTGTGTTAAAAATGTCGGGCTTGATGACTTTCTGCTTGTGTGTATTTTTTATGTATCTACAGTATTTCTTGAAATATAAAAAACACAGCAGAATAAACAAATGAACAAAATATATATTTATACGATTGTACTGGAACGAGGAAACATGATTCTCTGTCAACCTGTGGGATCATGATCTGGAAACATCTGAAAATAGCCCCACATCACATTTCTAAACACTCCAACAATACCTGGGTGGTCCAGATCTTAAAAGCTAATTTAATCCCTAAACTGGTAGCGCTCTCAGGCTGCAGTTTAATCAAGGAGTACACAGAGCAGTTCGCTGGTGTACTCTGTGGATCTGTGGCGTTCATCTGACAGGAATTTGACCCGTTAATGTAACCGTGCCTACAGTTGCCTCTCCGTCTTTCTTTGTTTGCAGACAGCTGTCATCCGAGGATCTGGCCCGAGTCCCTGAGAACTCGACCAGTAACATCTTGAACAGGTTACTGATCACCTACGATCCCAGAATCAGGCCCAACTTCAAAGGCAAGTCCCCCCCTCTTCATCTATCTCTGTCCTTTTTTAATTGACGTTTTTTTTTTTTTTTTTTTTTTGCGCTGCCGTCACAGTAATTAAAATAATCAGTTCATGATGAACTCGTAGCTCTGGATTTCTCCCTCAGAATCCTGCGCTGGAACCGAAGTGTTCGAATACACTTTTGACGTTTGTGAATATTAATACTTTCGTGTATGTAATGTAGAACATAATTTTTAAAGTGAGGGAATATAATATAAATATATATATATGTAGGGATATAATACTCTTGTGTTTGGCATTGATCTGTTAGTTTAGACTACTGTATTTAAAGATGGACGACATGGCAGCGTCCCCAAAAGAGAAGCCAGAGTGTCTCGTCGCCCCCTGGAGGCAGGCTGTAGTAAGAATCCTGCCTTTTCCATGTTAGGGGACAGGACATAGACCAACTGAAAAGTCAAGTACACGTCAAATAATTGGAGGTTTTGAGGTAGTTGTTATCACACTGGGGTTTTTACAAGTGTCAAATTGTTTTCAATTACTTATTTGAAGCTTTTAAGATGAGGTAAATTGATTGACAGCTGAGACTGACCTGTGATTGGTTGGTACTGCGCAGACTCCAAAGGCACAAGATGGCCGCATTGGTATCCACAATATTTTGGCTTCACTTGTGGTTAGTGTGAGGCAGCGGAGACCAACTTTATAAACTACTCAATGGATTAGACAGTCTCAGAAAACATCAGTGTGAATTTGTTCATTCAATCCACCAATTGAGATGAATTTCAAACCCTAAAATTCTACAGTACGTCGCTTTTCCGTCTTTACTGTGCCAAGCGTCCATCTTTACAGTTTTTCTTTAAACATCACACGACAGGGAGAACACCGACTTCAGTCTCTTTTAGAAAAAACAGCCACGACTCAGTGACGGGTCGGGCTTCAGGTGGCTCCTCACATAGTTTCCATCCTCTGGCACTTGGCAGCAGGAGCCGTATCTGGGACTCAGTGTTTGATGTGTTGGGAGCAGAATTAGCTCCCTGCTGGCGACGGGTCCAGCGGACAAACATCTGCTCTTGATTTCAGGGTGGGCTGAGAGCTTCCCGTCCATTAACATCCATGTCATAATCTCCCTAATTACACCCTAAACTGTGTCTTGTGCATTACTTTGGCCGGGGCCTATAAAATGTGGAGCCGCTTTTATAGAACGTATAGAGAATTTCAAGGAAGCATCACAAGGGTTTGGCTGAATATCAATTAGTTTTTCGCGGATGCAATTAGGCATTGGAGGTGAGCGCGTGACGGCATCTGCATATTATGTACATTAATTTTGCAAATTGCCTGATGGAGTTTATCCCGTGAAACTCCTGAGCCTCCAGTAAACCCCTCAAAGGAAAGAAATGTATTCAAAGCAGCGCGAGCAGTCTGCATCCATCAAGGATTTTATTAGTTTATGCAAAGGGCTGAGTGGAGAGGGATGCCACTATAAATGTTTACAGCGTTAGCTTAGAGGAGGAGTGCGATCCTCTTGGGAGGGCATTTTTTATTACTTTGCCGTGTTGATAAAGTCTTTCACAAATCCTGATCGGTCACAGAATCCTGTTCAATCACCGGGAACAATCTGCATTGATGTAAAAACAAAGAGGTTCATGAAAACACACTGACACTCACTATGAGCTATAAACACGCAGATGATGTGAATCACTCCTCTCGCTCCTCTTCAATCCAGGGATCCCTGTGGAAGACCGAGTCAACATCTTCATCAACAGCTTCGGCTCCATCCAGGAGACGACCATGGTAAGAATCCACTTATCCCACTCCCCCGACAGTATTGATGATCAATACTTGCGTCAATCAGAGGCGGCGGTTCGGAGCTGAAAACTGCTTTGTCCTGCCAGTTCTGGGAAGAACACGTGAGCATGTTTTCTGGAAGGTATCGGGCCGTTTAGCAGTGAATTATTATGAAGACTGTGGGGTTTCACGCCTCATTTATCTGATGGCTTAATTGCTGATGAGGAAATGCAGTTTTAATGCTAATGAACAGAACGAATTCAAGGACTCGTGATCACTTATGAAACAATAGAGGAGGAAACATTTCTTATTATTTAAAAGTTGCTGGGAGGGGCCGATAAACGCTCAATTAAATAACCTGTAATAAACCTAATGTTGAAGTCTTTATACATCTTTCATCTTCAGTTACAGTGCAATGATTTTACCTCCACCAGGGAAGGAATATCTTCACCCTGAGCGTTTGTTGGCTGCTTGATTTGTTAATAAGTAAGATGAAAGTAAAGCAGCTGAACGGATTAGTTCAAAACTTAGTGGACGGGTGGGTCAGGAAAGAACCCATTCAGTTTTGGTGTAAATCTGGATCAAGCGGCAGATCCAGGATTTTCTTTTTACTTTTGTTAATGGAGAGATTTTTCAATATCTTCGCCCTTTTCCCAGGGAATAATTCATGGTTTTTTATTCTAACATCAGAACACTATCTAAAAATATTCCCTCAGTCCCCGAAACACGCCTGAATTTTTAATGATGATTTCATCCATTTTTCATGCATGATTTTGTGGGAAATCTCTCCACGTTAGAGAAAGAAGTGAAAGAATTCCTTGATCCACCCCAAACAAGAACTGGGTTCTTTCGTGGCCAATAATATTCTTTGTGGATGTAGCAGCATGGTTTGGTGAGTTACCTGTCAGACAGAGGACTGTCAGTCCTGAGAGGAACCAGACAATGTGCACACTCTCAAAAACAGCACAAGACAAGAACAGCAGGACAACACGTGGCACGCTCGGTTCATACTTTCAAACCAGATTTTTCAAGAGCAGGACGTCTCAGTCCTCACAGGGACAGAGAGCAGATTTATGAACTTTTTCCCTCAGTGTCCTGTTGCAGAGGGTCTGGACAGTGTCTCCGTCCAACCCAGTGATCAATCTCCTGTAATTTAATTTCATGAGGAGTGACACTCTGAGCGCAGCCTCGGCTCCCAGGCTGGATCCTGGAATCGGATCTGCGTTAAGATCTACTGTGGAAATATTTCTTTTGGCTGCAGATCAGAAAAGTGTGTTCGCCAGTTATATCTTCCAGTGAAGTTTCACTCAGCAGCAAAACTGCAAAGTATGCAATGTACAGAGGTGTGTTAGGCGGACGTCAGGAGATGTAAGACAAGAAAAAGAAATAAAGAAGATAAAAAATAGTTGAAGGCTTAAACTAAAAGGAAAACAGAGAAATGTCAAGAGGAGAGAAGAATCAAGGCAGGAGGTGGAAAGAGACTTAACATCGAGACAGAACAAGTAAGAGCCGAGAGTGAGACGGAGACTGAGAGCGGAGGAACTCTTCTCTGGTCCGCTCTTCCTCCTGGGACGCCCGGCGATAGACAGACAGAGAAGAAGAGTGACGAAGGTTTGAGACGAGTCCAGGAAGACACAGAAGAGACGGTCGGCCACCTCTCCGCCTCATTCATCACTCTGTGGGGTCTCAGATCCCAGGAAACCTCTGTCATCATTTACACCTCCCTGAGCCAACAGCGCCACATGTCCTCTGTTGTTAACACATCTGTTCCCACTCTGTGATCGTATTCGCCAGGAGAGGACGACTAATTTCATACTGCAACACTGAATAAATCCTGCTTGTGTAAGTTTGTGTGTTTTTTTTCACTGCTGCTCAGTTGGAGTTTTCCTCGTTGACTACACAGCTTGTGTTAAATCTCTCTGGGATCGAACGCAGCACTGGCAGCTTGATAGCGAGCCAGAGGGAGGATGTATTTCCTTGTCTGGTTTCTCTGAAAGGCGAAGGTGTGGGAATTGGCTCGTGTCTCTGACAGACAGAGGAGCGCCAGCAGGAGCTGCTCGTGCTGTCGCTCCAGGACGCTGAAATTAGGTTGTGCAGAAATAAGAATAAGACGTCAACAATGTGACCACTGCTCGCACACAGACACACACAATCCCTCTACTGGCAGTGAGATAAAATACACTCTCGGTTACTGTTCATTTTATAAAACCTTCCTACTTATAATGTACACACAGGAGTGAAGAAGGAAGCGGTTCATGTGGTTTCTTCTGTTTTCATGGATTAATGCAGCACCTGTTCTGAACCTGCCTGTTTGAAATCTGTTTTCTTGCCCTGTGGTGATTCTGTTTTTTTTTTTTTAAACTATAAACTTGAGTTGCCGCAAGACAAGTACCGGCTGCTGGATTCGAACCACAAAACTTTAAAGCTGCACAAAAAGCTGCTCACCGGTTCCACTCAAAGTTCGGGTAGTGACGGTTTTAACAAAACTCTATTTTAGAGAATGTTTTAGAGACAAATGTGAAAACATTCTTCTTTTAAAGTTGAGTCACTTCGATGTCAGAAATACGGAAACGAACTGCAACTCAACACAACACAACCAAATAGACAACTGTGAGGCCAATACTCAAGGGATGGGAGGTGAAAGTTACACACAGACACACACAGATGGTATTTTGGTGGCTTTGTTTGACAAGTCATCCATCTTCACATTCAGCAGTAAAAGTCCTTCCCAGCACCTGGTCCCAGAACAGCTTGAGGGCCGCAAAACAAGGCAGCCACAAAAAAAAACCAACCCACAAACAGTCCTGAGGTCGCTGAGTGAAACGTTCCGTTCAACAACATCGTGGACGTTTCACTAATGAGCGATTCGCTGAATCAGTTGTTGTGTTGATAACATTTCACCCTGCGGAGTTTCTCGTACGTTGAAATAGATGTTGTGAAATTTCTCTCTGCACTTTAAAGAGGTGACGTTGACACTAAAGACAAAAGATGGTTCGTCTTAAAAGAAGGAAAATATGTGAACCCGTCATTAAAAGTGACAGTTGGAAAGAGGAAGTAAAAGCATGTGAGTAGCCAGAAGTGTTTGTGTCCGACAGACATCGACACTCACCCCGTTTGTGAATCTCTCGTCTTGAACACGACAGGATTACAGAGTCAACATCTTCCTGCGGCAGCGCTGGAACGACCCGAGGCTGAAGCTTCCGCAGGACTTCAAGTCGGATTCGCTCACCGTCGATCCGGGGATGTTCAAATGTCTCTGGAAGCCCGACCTGTTCTTCGCCAACGAGAAGAGCGCCAACTTTCACGACGTCACCCAGGACAATATCCTCCTCTTCATCTTTCGTAACGGAGACGTCCTCATCAGTATGAGGTATCATCGTCTTTGTCTCCCACAATGTTATTAGTGAACTAAATGCTGACGTTGTCTTTAGCCCGGATGTTCCTGTGTGATCAGCTGATATGTCCCTCGCCATTGATTGGTTAGAGCGAAACAGAACTAGAGTGGAGGATATATCTATATCTAT